TCCTGCTGAGCTTTTTTTTATAAAAGAAGCCCTGAGCATTACCATCCCCCCATCCCAGTAAGCCTTGGGGCTGAACAGTGTTTCAAGGCTCACAGTATTCCCAATCAGCCCTGTAGGGTTAGTTTGGATAGTCTCCCTTCAACATTCTGGTTAATTGAGGTGTTTGCACTACAAACCCATGTTCCTGTAGATAAACCATGTAGTTTGGACCAAATTAATAACTTACCCCATAACTACAGTGCACAGTAAACAAAACAAAAAAAATCCCCCTCCCAATTAATTGCAGGGCAAACCCTTGCTTGGTCCACATGGTGTCCCACATGATGTCCCACTAATCCTTGCACAGACCTAGTGTGGAAGTAGGTAAAAGGGCATTGTTCTGCTGTAGGCACTCAGATCCAACGCACTCCATCTAGGGACGCCAACCTCCAGGTGGTATATGGAGATCCCCCCAAGCTACGACTGATCCCCAGACAGCACACATTGCCATAGAGAAAAATGGCTGCTTTGGAGGGTGGCCTCTACGGCATTTGACCCCACTGACATCCCTCCCCTTCCTAGGATCTACCCCCGAATCTCCAGGAAATTCCCAAGCCAGGGTTGGCAACCCAAGCTCCATCTGCCCTAATTGGTGCAGTGATTTATGAAGCTCTATCCCATTATCTTATTTTTTGGAGTAGGAGTGCAGCAAAATTACTCCTGCAGCTGTGGGAGCAAGGTGAACATCTCCTGAAATGAGCAGGAAGTATTCAAGGAATTGCCAAGGAGAACCACAGACAAACGCTTCAAATCTTCTATCCGTGGCCCACTGAGAGATGCCTGAAATGCTATATTTTGAAAGCATTTTACAATTGACACAATGCATGTGCCATATGAGTTAGCAAACTCCTAAATTTCACTGGATAGTCTTTGAAACAGAGCCCTCCAAATCCATTGTTTTTGGAATGGATAATTACAAATGTTGTTTTGTTGGAGAAGAACTCCCAGGACAATGTAGTTCTCTGTCAAATCATGCAATATGTTTGTATAGTCATGAGAAAGATTTCTGAGCTTGCAGAAGTGAACCATAATGCTTTAGCTACAGGAGTGTGTAAACATGCATTTCAGCTCTTTCAGCAGAACAAAGTTTGAGTCCAATGGGACCTTTAAGACCAACAAAGTTTTATTTACGGTATACGCTTTCACATGCAAGCACACTTCCTCAGATACAGTGAAACAGAACCTCCTCGGCCATTACTTATAGGGGGTGGGGCTGTTGTCAGGAAGGGTCATTTAGAATAAAGATACATAAGTACTTCCAGCAGTGTGTTTACTCAAAAGTATTTCCCACATTATTCAGTGGGATAGTCTGAAGCACATATGAATAGGATCACAACTTGTACGTGAAAGCTTTTGTACCACAAGCACAGAGCTATTTTTGTCATTACTCCACACTTCTGTAAAATTCCAGCAAACAATATGAATGTGCCAAAAGCTTGAAAAACCCGTCCCTTAGCACAAAAGAACCACAGACCAGGAACAAACAGCCTCACCCTCCTTTGAAAGCATTTGTGGAAAGTCTGAGCATATCAGGAGCAAGATTCTGCAACTCCTACTCAGACCTAGAGTAGCTAACTACATACAAACTAATTTATGGGTAAGCAATTAGTTCCTTTGCATTCCGCAAACTCATATTTTAATCTGCAGCTAATATTGGCCAGGAAGTGAAAGCACTACTAGCATTAAACAGTTAAGTAATGTCATGAGTCATGACTGACCAGGTTTTCTTTTAAAAAAAAATCCATCTAAGGAAGGCAGGCACATTTTTTCCCTTCTAAGTCATTTGTTAGTGGTTAAAAATAATTTCTTTTTTCCATGGTAACCCCCTTCCTCCTCCACAGCCACAAAGTTCGTTAGTTCTGAAAGTCTACAAAATTTATGGGGGGGGGGAGGTGAAGTAGCCTTCATATTTTATAAGTTATGTAACATTAGCAGCCAGCCCAGTCAGCCAAAAAAGTACAGTTTGCAGACAACTTAATACATTCACTTAGAGGAAAACCCCAATCCTTGTCCTACATGCATTCTTGGAAAAAAAAATAATAAGTAACTTTCAGTAAACAGTATGCTAACAACATGTTTCTACAATCAACAAGCATGAAGAAAACTTTTAACAAAGTATACCTTTTGTTTTTCAGAACTCTGTAATGCTGTCGTTTGGTCTGGAAAACTACTGACTGCAGGACTGAAGCTTTCAGCTTGTGATTCTTATAAAGTCATCAGGAAGCCACACCTAGCAACCAAGGTTTATTCCTGCAACTCTTCTGATTGGTTTCTGTGTGGCAGAAGGCTAAACATGGGATCTAGCCAAAAGACACTCCCACATGACTTAGGAACAAACTGCCCACTGAAATGAAGAAAGATTTCTGAGCAACAGCAGCTTGGCCAGATGAATGAGGGGGGTAGCTCATAACTCATGAGTTCAGTACTGGGGATAAGACCCTAAGAACATAAGAAGAGCCCTGCTGGATCAGAGGAGTGGTCCATCTAGTCCAGCATCCTGTCCCACACAGTGGCCAACCAGTTCCTCTGGATAGCCACCAACAGGGCAGAGAGACCAAGGCCTTCCCCTAATGTGGCTTCCTGGCTCTCGGATTCAGAGGCTTAGTGCCTGCCAGGCAAGTTTGATCTCGTCAGATCTTGGAAGCTAAGCAGGGCTGACCCTGGCAAGTACTTGGAAGGAGACTTCCAAGGAATACCATGGGTGAGATGCAGAGGCAGGCAATAGTAAGCCATCTCTCTGAAATGTCCAAGCTAGGGTTGCCAAGTGTACTCACCTCTCGGAGCGGGGGAACCTCTGGTGACGCAGCTTCGGGAGCGGAGTTCCCCCCGGGGCCCGATTCCGCCACCGCGGAAATCGGGCCTCCAAAGCAGGGGATTCCCCGTCCCCCCGGGCCCATTTGGCAACCCTAGTCCAAGCCCCACTAGGGGTCACCAGAAGTCAACCACACAAAATACTCACAAAAAGAAAAATGTATCCATGCATACCAAACACAGAACCGTATTCTCACCTAGAATGGACTTCCATGGTTCTCTCCAGAAACACAAACACTGCTTACAAGTTGTCTAGACTCCTTCATTCTGCTGATGATAATCTGTTGCCTTTTCTGCTCTGCACCATGTCCAGCTACAAGCGCAGGCGATAGAGCACTCACAAGCAGGCAGAGGAGGCACATGGGAAGAGGGTTGGCAGCAGTGGGCCCCACCAGAAGCCTTGTGCTGTGACAGCTGCTGATGGCAGCCCTTCCCCCAGGCCCTTCTTGCCCGGAGCCCCCTGAGTTCTCAGGCTGCGCACTTTCTAATATACAGGGTAGACTCCATGTTTAATGTTAAGACAGAGAATTATAATCAGGCTATACACAACAGAGAGGCTAGTGCATGTGGAAGTAGCCTGATTCCCATGGGAACTGATACATCCTAATCAATAATACTCTGTTCTGTGATGCTCATCAATGTCCCGACCATGATTAAAAAACAGAGTTTGCAGGTCAACAACCAGACCTCTCGGACCACTCACAAATCTCACTTACAGTACAAAATTCTCTAGAACACTAATCAAATGCACAGTCAATGCAGGAGATTTCATCTCCTGGCCCACTGATGCCACACATTAGTCAAGGAAGCAACACTAGTAGTTCAGTCATGCCATATACAAACCCCATGAAGCAACTTCCACAAAGAAAACTCTTAACTCCCCAATAGCAGCACAGATATTAATCATTCCTCTAATTGCAGAATGGATCCAAATTGACAGAACAGATTCAAAATCCCCCAATTTCATAACAAATCCAAAGTACCAAACCGATGCTGGCCATCCTTTGAAGGGTCATTGCTGATAATATTTGCTCCAACAGCCATTGCCAATGTAATTAGGGTGTACGAATCTGAAGGGTCATTGTTGATAATATTTGCTCCATTGCCAATGTAATTAGGGTGTACGAAAGGTACTCTTGAATGGGAAAGGTATCTTCAGTCTCAACCCCAGGATTGCTCTTCTTTCATTGGCACTTCGAGACTGAGGAATTCTTACCCATATCTTTCCTTGCAGGATCAGGCAATGTGCCATGTTTTATATTACTTCTGTATGCTCCCTTGTCTCCCCAACCTCCCTGCTCTCCATTCCAGCTCCTTGCCCTTTCCTGCTCAAAGATAACCTTGATCCTTTACCCTTTTCCTCCTCCCAACCTCAGCCTCCTTCCCTCCCTCTCTGGGGACACAGAATATTCATCAAAAACACAGGTGGATTTCTGATTCTGGGGCCCAGCAGTGGGAGGACACATCTAGCTTAAAAGGAACTGCTTCCACTTGGAATTATTTGATTTGATAATTGATTGCTTATTTTCCAAATATTTTGTGATTGTGTATCTATTTATTTACACCGCATATCATATTTTAGGACAGTGTATTGAAATCCTTGGATCTGCCTGTTTTTTGTTGTTGTTTTTTGCTTTTCCTTTATGTAGGCCTCCCATTTACCCACCCACGATGGGGATTTACCCAGCCTCAGCCCCAGTTTCCCACCCCTGAGAAATTGAGCAGTGGCAGAAAAAATGTCATCCATGTCATGACTCTCTAGGAATTTCCCCTACATACCATAGAGACTAGGGGAGACAGCCTTGTACATCAACCTAGAGTGACATCACACCCTCCCCAAACTCCACCCTCCCCAAAATTGTTATCCCCTTCTCTAGTTCTACCACAGATATCATTCGGTCATGAGTTTGCCTGCCAACACCTCCTTGGATGAGAAGGAAGCTGGCCCCAGCTCTCAGATGTTACAGGAAGACCTGCCAGACAAAGAGGAGACCTCATCAGGAGCAGAGGTATACCATGCCCTCAACCCCACAGCCTGGGACCTGAAGCAGCAGCCCTACAGCTGCCAACCTCACCCCTGGGGTTGCCAGAGTCCTTGGAATACCAGAGAAGCTGGGCCTGCGAGAGGTGCAGGACGGGCACTGTAGCATGTGGCTGGCAGCTCAGCACTGGTCAACCTCTGCCTTTGAACTGGAGTCAGCACAGGATCAGGGCCGACAGCCACCTAGGCTGCTCAGCCATTGATGAGTTACACCAGGCTGTCTCCCAATGACTCAGCAGGTTGATGAGTTGCACCTGTTTCTGAAATAGCTTGGCAGGGTTATCTTGATAAAAACAGCCAGAGAAGGGTGAACCAGTGTGGAAGCAATTTGTCCACAACTATTGTCATTAGTTGTCTTGTTCTAGAGCTCAGTGTGTTTATTTCCATAGTTGTCTTGTTCTAGAGCTCAGTGTGTTTGACCTTCTGGACTGTGACCTGGCTTGTGCTCTTCGGATTTGTCCCACTGTTTTTGACACTTGGACTTTGATCCCTGGACTATTCTGACTACACTTGTTGCCTCTTGCCTCAAGTGCCTGCCTGAACCCAGACTTAGGCTGTGGTCATACACACTAAATGATCCACTTTCAATTCACTTTCAGTGCACTTTCCAACTGGATTTTGCCAGTTCACACAGTAAAAATCCAGTTTGAATGTGGATTGAAAGTGGGTTATTTAGTTTGTGTAACCGCAGCCATATTCTGAGTTTGTGTCCAAGTAAACACAAGCATTTTGTCCACTTGGGTTTTTTTTGGGGGGGGGATATTTTAGGAGGCTGTTGGGGGGGGATGAAACATAATCAAGGTACAGATTCACTAGTTTCTGCTCACAGTCATAGAATCCAAGCCATTTGATTTAGCCTGATAGGATTTTAACAATTTCTGAATAACAAGTATTTGAGGCCAGTAAGTTTTATGATTACACTGACCTCACAGATGAAAAATGTCTACTTCAGCCAATGATCCTTTCTAATATTTATGAATATTTGTATGAAATATCCTATTGAGTCTAATTGGAGTCTGGTACCACTGAAAAATCATTTTTATTATACTATTTATTATATTGAACACATGCAGCTGCCTTATAATTCAGACCACCAGTCCACCTAGGTCAATACTGTGTACTCAGACTAGCAGTGGCTCTCAAGGGTCTCAGGCAAAAGTCTCTCACATCATCTACTTCCTGGTCCTTTTGTAGTTGGAGATGCTGGGGATTGAAGCTGGGACCTTCTGCATGCCAAGCAGATGTTCTACCACTGAGCAATAGCCCCTCCTCTAGGAGATGTGGCATGACTACAAAGGTGGGTCTCATGGGGATTTCCCATCCTCCAGCTCAAGCATCTGTCCATGTCTTACCATAGAGGTGTGATGCAAAAACTCTCTCGCACTAACCTCATCCACAAGATTTCTTAATACAGCTAGATATTCTGGACTAGATTTTATTTGGAACAGTAATCTGTAAAATCTTTCACAACATACTTTATAGAAATATTGTTAGCATTCATTCCTAACGTTTAAGTTGTGTTTACTGAAAAGGAAGTAGATCCCCATTTTCCTTGGATCATTATTAAGTATCTACCCATGGTGACAATTTCCATACATTAAATTGAATATCAATCTGAGATGGAGCAATATGAGGTGAAAACAATGAGGGAGGAGAGCACTCCTTGTTTTATTTTTAGAAGTTTGACAACCCCAGAGAAACAAAAATGAACCAAGCTTCAAAATGCTGCCTGAAGGGGAATGTCTTAGATCAGAAATGCAGATGGGGAACAGGAATTGCTCCTGTTCAAAAATGCACTGCCCTGTGACTAACCTGTAATCTTTGGTTAAGATTATTTTGCATAGTATTACCTCTACAGGAAAACATGACAAGACTGATTAATTTTTAGGGAACAATTAAGTGATGTGGATAGTAATGATCAAATTGACTGCATCTACTTATGTTGTAGAATGAAGGTAATTAGTCAGAACTCCAGTTTCAGGAAATCACTGAATCAGAAAATTTCAAGTGGTTTAAAAATGTAGAGAACAGCAGCAAAATGTCCCTCCTTTTTCAGTTTAAAGGAGCTAGCCAGGGACCAGCATACCTAGGGGACTGTCTCACCCTGGAGAGCCCTGAACTCCGTAGATCAACATCTCCTGCTAATTCCCAGCCTGAAAGACATCCACTTAGCCTGAACCAGGACCAGGGCTTTCTCTGCTGTGGCCCCAGCCTGGTGGAACGTGCTCCCAGCTGAGATTAGGGCCGTAGGATTTTGTTAGTTTCACAGTCCCTGTAAAACTGAGCCGTCCTTCCAGGTCTTCAGCTGAGGTGGTGGACGTCCAGCCATCTTGGCCTCCCCTGTCCACAGCACTGGTCCCAGTGC